GGGTTCGTCAGCAAGCTCTGCTTTATCGGAGATGGCCAATATATTCGGACGCCAAGCCTCTGAACTAACCAGACAGCGTTTAAAAAGTGACGTTTATTTCAGTTACCAGGCCATGCCACAAAAGCCATGCATACAATACTATATCACAATGTGTTACACTATACCATACCATACCATACCATACCATACCATACCATACCATACCATACCATACCATACCATACCATGCCATACCATGCCATGCCATGCCATACCATACTATACCATATTATCATACTATACCACACCACATTATACCATACTATACCATATCATACTATACCGCACCGTACCATATCATACTATGCAATACCATACCTTACCATACCTTACCATACCATACCATACTCTACCCTAATCCTACCGTACCCTTACCTACTCTACCCTACCCTACCATACCATACCATATATTAGTTCAAGACATGCTTCACATTACGCTGCTCTTCGGCTCTGTTCCATAAAATCTAATATTCAACTCCGTGCTCGACATTCACAGTAACTTTGAAGGCAGATAACCGGAATGTTGGGCAAAGTATTAACAAAGTATTTTTTTTCTCAAAAGTTGCAGAAGTGAAAGAATAAAGGATAAGCCAAGGCCGGTGGCGTCCTTCAAACACTCGCGACACAGTCGAGTGAGCAGCGGTGATTGTGCACAAGTTTGCATGGTCTTTCCAGCGAAAAGCGCAGCCTGTGAGAATGGGTGATTTGTATTCCCAGCCCCACATTAAGAAAAGGCATAATATTATGCAAATCGGGACATCAAAATTGTTGACATTCGTTGTGAACCACTTGGCATGGCGGTCGGCCTCACAGACAGCCAGCGCGATTTGAATGAAGGCAGGGCGTTAGGGGTGGGGGAGGAAGTAAATAATGACCTCGTATCTTATACCCGTCACTGGTGTTATTATAGTACAGGACAGCTCGGTAAATGTTTCTGAAAGAAACAAATAACAAAGCAAATTAGCATTCCTTGGGAAGGTCTTTGGAACGGTTTGACTTTAAATATTTGGCATCTGCTCGAGAATCCAGCAGACACA